ACCTGCTGCTGCTGCAGACAGAAGGGATTGTGTGCCACGGGGGGGTTCCCTCACCCCCCCACTCACACCCACACCGTTCCCACCCAAGCTCCACGCTCCTACCGCTCCCCACCCCCCTCCTCCCCAAGTGCAGGCTCTGCACTCCTACCAGCCCCAGCCCCACACTCCCTGCCCAGCTGCAGCTCCTCCCTCCTTCCCCACTGCTTCCCTATCTGCTGCCCAGAGCAAGTGCTGCAGCAGGAAGACAAGGAGGAGCTGCTGGATGCTGGGGAAGCTTAAGAGGTCCCCTGGCAACTGCAGCAGTGGCAGCAGCGGCCCTGCCCAGAAGCTGTGTGCTGACTGGGCTGGGCCCTTCCATGCACCAGGGTGGGAGTGAGGCGCATGGGCTGGGTGGGGTACAATTGGTGGGCGCCCGTGGACCGGATGGAATTGCCTGGCAGGCCAGATCCAGTTCGCAGTCTGTATTTTGCCTGCCCATGTTATAGATCCTCATCCAGAAGAAAACAGGTCTCTAATTCTGTAAGTCAAATCAGGGGAAAAGAGTGTAACGTTGCAGGAAGATACCTGCTAAATAGAAACAGACGAATAAGTTAGGAGCTGGTCTACCACTGATAGATGAGATCCAAGACCAGAAAGCACACATCAGGAAGACCAAGAAAAGAACCCTAAGGTCACTGAACCGGACAGTAGGGGTTCTGTGAGAAGACTTTGGACTCAATTGCTTACCCTTTGAAGAGGTCTTAAGTTTCTGACAAGGTCCAGCAAGTCAAAGGAACGGTCTTCACTAGAACAGTCAGAAAAAGGCTAACGAGGCTTTTATCTGTGGTGTCATAATTCTTCGTGTTGAGGCACTGTAGCAGTTCAATGGTATCTATATGGGGCCACTAAATCTCTGATGAGGGTAAGGAAATGTTAAAGGAGGTGTCCTTGTGGAACCTGAAGCTGGAGACCTTCATCTAGATCTGCAATCCACAAGTCTTTGGCACAAGAAGTCAATGACCTCTTCCAAAAAGCTGTATCCTCAGAAGCCTGGCATCTAGTAAAGTCTAGTGCTCTGGGATCAGAGGCCAACACAAACTTGCCCAGACCTGGCTTCACACTTCCTTCTGGCCCTGAAGGGGAGACTTTCAAATGGATTATTTTCCAGGAAACAGGACACTTACAAGCAAAAAAAAAAACAACAACAAAACAAACAAAACAAAAAAAAGAAAAGAAAAAAAAGGCTCCAGGAGAAGTCATGATGATGGAGAAAAACAGAAACAAGAGCAAAAGTTTTTAGAGATAAAGGCCAAATAAAAGGAGGCAAGACACCATATGGTACAGATACAGATACAAAAGGAAGGGCAAAGTCTGCACTAAGATCAGAAAGGACAGAAGAGGGAGGGGAAGGGCACATGCCCCCCAGAGTGAGAATATGTTTATGGACAAGCTCTCACCGGAGAAAGGAAGTTGATTTTTATTGGGATTACCAGTGGCTTTTGTGGACTAGAGGCTGTTTCATAAAAAAACAAACTAGGGGCCTCCCTTCGTATGTCTAATTAGAAACAGACTGCCGTTCCCTGAAGTATTCCTATTTGTTTCATTACCCTTATCATGTAACTTTACTGTAATTTGTACTGAACTTCAGCCATGAAGTTTGCAGCTGACTTGTCCATTTGTCACTCCTCCCTGTCTGGTACTGTTAAAATATGACTGTTGGTACTCCAAATGAAGATCATGTTTGGCTCAGGTAGACTTACTGGACTCCTTTGGCACCTGAGGGAGAACTAGGAAGGAAAGAGGAAGCAGAGGCATATATCTGGTAGAGTTCCGGTTCTGGGTGGCTATGGGCTTTAGCTGCTATCCAGGACCCAGAAGGTCCCAGTACCAATGGGGAAGGTGTCCTCCAGCCAGGAATTAAGCCTTTCACAGCCCCCACCCCCCAACAGCAGGTGCCATTGAACATCATCATGCTGAGCAAAGAAGCAAAACCCCTAAAATCACTGCCCCTCTCTTCCCATTTTCATCCCCTGCTTTTTCCTACCCAGCACTTAGCTACCAGGACCCTAGAGCCTCCCTGCATCACTATCTGGCTCCTAGCCCCACTCTACACAACCCATAGCTGCATCCATTCCAGCACCCCCTTAGTCGGTGCCTGGGGCTTATGCCTGCTCACCCATCTCTAGTTACATTATTGCTTGCGTCTGCAGATTAGTGTGATCTGATGGACCTTGCTCCTTCCCATTTTCATCTCTTTCTCTCTAACTAAAGGTGGTCTTAATTCTGTTTATAATGGGTCACAGGGGCATCGACACTTCTGTATCCAAATCAAATGTTATGAAACTGACTTTAAAAAAATACATCCATCTATAATTTACAATATGGAAAATGAACAAAACAGTTCTCATCCCTCTTTTTAACACGTACAGACAACCAAAGTTCAAACCCACACATGCAGGAAGAAAAAGTAGCATATTCTCCACGTTGCTGATATTTGGGGTGGGGTTGGGGGTTCTTTTTACTATGTATTCCTTTACTAGTAACCTTGAAGAACTCACCTGCTGACAAGAGAGATGGCTCTAGCCTAGCCACAACTGGCATTTATCTTGGAAGGCTGGTTCTATTATACAGGGCAAAGGGCAGAAAGCTGCCTAGTAACTACTTACTGTGCATATGAAGAAGGGTCTCGACATTTTCTAGTTCATTCTCCATCAGTTTACCTGTCTAAACTGGTTATAATAGGTAAAGCTATTACATATTTTACTGTTGACTTGGCCTTTCTAAACAATCACACTGAGGCTGTACATGGAAAAAGTTCTGCAAAAAAGCTGTTTGTGAATTTAGTAGATAGCAATTATTACTTTATAGTTAACAAAACTAATGAGCAGAGTGAGGAAGCATCATCTTTTGAATGAGATCTGCAACAAAAATGCTGACCAACGTTGGTTTCCATCACCCAACCCCATTGTCCATAAATTATGAACCCAGTACTCTTAAAAGATACTAGTGACTTCATACAAAAATCCTAAAATCAGTTGAGTATCAATAGGATACTGTATTCTTGACTTTTTGACCTGAACAGCTGTGCAGTCTTGTCATAAACTATCAAACAGCTGCTATGGGAGCCTACATGTGGCTATAATTCAGCAATGGGGAAAGCAATTCCCCATCAGTGAAGCTTGTATAAAGAAAAGTGCAAAAATTTCTGGTGGGAATTATGGAATAACCTTTGCACAGAACTTCCAAACTGCTAAGTTAATTAATTTGTGCTATGAAACATGAGGTTTTAGAGTTCCAGTTGAAACCTAAGTGTATACATCCAACGTGTATACCCATTTAGCTAGCAGTAGGTAGTTTCATTAGCCACATTAATACTAATGCTTTTTGAATACCTGCTAAGCTCTCTGGGAGTCTCTTCCATCTGGTAGCTAGGCGCTGGATGTTTCTCTCTCAGGTTTTATGGAAAAGTGAGTCTGGTGGATATGAACTCCACAAATTATGGTTATCTTCTTTTGCAGAGTGCAATATGGGGTTATATTCAGAAATGTGGATGCACCAGAGGACATATTTTGCACATACTGTATAAGTCTTGTTATTACAGGTGAGATTCACCACATCTGAAACATTTTGGAAGTTTAAGAAGATACGTTCTGCTTCATTTGTTTTAGTTTTGCTGTTAAGCAACTAAGGAGCTGTGTTTTTTAATAGCATTTTCTTTTACCATTGCTACTTCTTCTAGAAGCTTTCCAAGAGTATTAACATTTAATCAGGATTGAGGTAAGCTTAAACTATCAGTCACTTTTTGCGAGGGGTTATGTTTTATTTTTTAAACAAAGATAACACATTAAGATGTAGAATTAGCTACGGGCCTCTATATTGTTTTTGAAAAAGCTTACTTGAAATGAAACTGCACATCAGTAAACAAAGTCAGCAACGCTTCTCAGAAAGTAAAAAGTATGCCAGCCTTTCAAAGTGGTAACATGAAGATGATTGATTCAAATAGTCCAATTTCAATACCTGCCCACACCTTTTAGCTGTTTCCAGTTCTCGCCGTCTGTAAGGACTAGTTAAGAGTGACTGAATAGTGCATCTTTAGCTGGTAGCTTTTCCCTCAATGCTCCCTTCACTCTTTGGAGGGCACCAGGATTCTCATCTCGATTCAGGGAACTGTGGACATTTATTATTTGTTAACAATTTCCTTATGGGTTCTCTTCACAAGGGAAGTGTGTAGAGAACTGCCTCCCCAAAGGCAAAGCATGTTCAAATCACTGAATTAAGAGGAAATCCAAATCCTGTTTTTCCCCTCACCAAGTTATGCATTTTAAGAGTTATGAAAGAATTCCAGTCTTTTGCATTCTTCAGATTTCTTACAGAAGCATTCACCTTATTGCCAGTGGGTCCTCCGTCTCCTCCACAGGAGAAGACTAACACAGCCTCCAATAAGAAGAAGCAGAATATATTAACCTTTGACATGTAAAAGAAGGTAAGACCTTCTTACTGGTTTATCAAAATCAAAGGTATGCTAAGAAGGATATTTATAAATTTGAAACAAATAACAGCAAGTGCCAAGTTACACGAAAGACTGCTAGAAATGCAAGTAAATGGGAATAAGATGCTTTCTCAACAGTACTCCCAGGCAACGATTTCATCACCTGGATATAGTTACTGAACTAAATCTGCAAGCAGCTGAAATTATTGCTCACCACTGTAAGTCAATTTCTCACTCCTGGGTAGGTAGTCAAGCCTCTTGACATTCTATCCTCCATACTGATGCCTAAGCCTCTTTTCCTGTGGCTAATGGTACAAGTCTCTTCCTTTAAAGCATCTGTTAATCATCGCTTCCCAGGTGTTAGGCACAGACAAACAATCTGCAGAAACTAACGTAAAGGAAGTATGCCAAGTTGGACTTTCTAGTTACAGTTTATGGCTGGAAAATGTTGTCTGGTATCTGAGTCAGCTGAAAAACCCTCTTTAATATTAGAGTTCAAGAGAAGGGACAAGGAAGAGTCAAGACAGAACACTCATTTTTGTCAATATTTTTTTAAATCCCAGCCCAGCTTCTAGTAAGACTGGACACTACTTACAACACTCCTAGAACTGCAAAAAGAATGGAAACACAATAGGAAAAGGGGCGAGACGGCACAGTGGCCGGCTTTAGACATTCACATACATAAAGCCAGCAAAGACTGGAGTCAGCAAGGCCCCAGGTGCCCCACTAACATGAACAAACCCAAACACGAAGGTAGCACATGAAATGTATTTACCTATTTAAACACAGGCAGCTGGTCTGGCTAGGATGCGGAAGGTAACTGCTAATTCCTTGTACTACAAGGAAGGAATGGAGTAAAAAAAACCCAAGCCCATGGGCAGGTTTTTCCTTTGTGAACCTCTGTCTTTGTGCTGCTGGTAACAGTGGTAAGTATAAAAAAATCAAAGAAAAATAATCTATTTATAGAACAAGTCAGTAGTCTGAGACATTTAGAAAAAAGTAAAAACAAGTCCTCTTTTAAAAATGGATTTACTAAAACAATTGTCACCCAGGATTAACCCAAGACTTCTGTCCCCTGGCAAAGCCAGGGACAACTTTAAACAGGAACTACTGCTGATTGTAGGCTTGTATCCAGCAAAGCCAGTAGGGACAGGATCTGTGCTCTGGACAGTATCTGCAGACTGCTTGCTGATATCACTCAAGGCCATATCTGTAGCCTAGTGATACTGGAAATACTTGTGAATGGAAGTTCTCACAGAAGTACATCAGTGTAACCTGTGAGGTAAGTGGGTTGTCCACTTTCTTCCTCATCCCTGGGTACAGATCACAGAAGCTGGATCCTATGTTACTGCACCTCTTCACCAGCTTCATCCTGTCAGACAACTGTAACATACAGGGGCACAGGACACCAATGAAGCCTAGAAGAGGAGAAGCAACTCCTTTAATGGGGAAGCGCTCTGCTTTCCAAGCTCAGGCATGGCTAGATGTCTTAACTGATGCTTTGTGGCCATGCTCAGGACAGGAAGATTGACTGTGCCCCTCAGGAAAAAAAAAAGAATATATTTAGTGGAGTAGGGTTAGGTTTCTTTTTGGTAAACAGAACCAGTGCTGATATCTGAGACCTTGAGCTCCTTTGCCCTCTAGCTACAAAAGAGAAACTAACAATTGATCCACCCACTCCCATTCCCACAGTGTAGTGTGAGCTGCCCTGGCATGGAGGCAGGTTCATTATCCCCATACACTGCCCTCTTGGCTCAGCTAACATGAGAGGCCACCTGGCTTAAGGTAACTTCCAAAAGCTCTGCATGGATAATATGCCCCCATGGAGATATCTGGTAGAGCTGAAAGCTCTAGCCACTGCCCACCAATTCCAGGCCAACCCCACTTCCTAAACGCAGTGCTAACACACCAAAGTGTCCCATCCACCAGCCACATGTTTGTTCAGTCTCTGAGGGCAGCCACCACACTCACTGCTGCAAACACTTGAGTTAAAACATTGGCTGGAACTGTAACAAGGTGGTGTCTGCATAGATGAGTTGGTACCACTGTGCCTCTGACATCACCATTGTACAGGGGAAGCCAGCTATTAGGAAGGGACCATTTCTGCTGCAGGGCTGTACATCCTTGGAAGTGAGGCTCAGTGGCTACATTAGCTTCAAACCACCCACTTTCAGTAGGGTCTCAGTGGTCCAGTTCCCAACAAATCCCAGAGACCAACTAGCTGCTAACTTGTCCCCTTGAGGTCCTCCTCGAGTCTCAGTAAGAAAGGGGGTGGTGATACATGTACTGGGCGACTTGGCCCCTGCATTGGTTTCTTTGCACAGTTTATACAGATGTAATCTTCATTCTCAGCCATTTCCGGAGAGACGCCAACACACACTTGATGGAACCACTCGTCACAGCCACCATCGCACTGTACCCAGTCTACCTGCAAAAGACAAGATCAACACACATAGTATAGTGCAAGGGAGAAAACTTACACTGAACTCTACAGACCAGTACCAGAAGAAAAAAAATATATGGGACTGACACAGATACTAGCATGTAAAGTTTATTACAGATCTTTGGAATGTTTTAGGCTGATAGCAAAGCATGAAAAGTAGGCAGGCTAAAACCTGTCATAATCTTCTGCAGCTGCATTAACTTCATATTCTTCCTATGCTGTCCTAAAGATATAGAAGCTACATGGTTTCAATATGACCTATATAATTAACAGAAAGCTTCCGCATAGATGAGTTGTTTCAAAAGATCCCAATAAAGGAACCTTTCTGCATTACTAACAAGCTAATATGGGGAATTCTAGAAGTCCAAGGAAAACTTGCCTCACAGGGGACCTATAGACTGAGAACTGTTCTCAGAAATAATGCTTTGTGATTATGCTTTGAAATCTACTGGCAGAAGGCACTAAATATACTATCAATGCCTTCATAAGTACTTAAGGAAACAGATACACTGGGAACAATAGTCATTGCATAGAAATCCATCCCAAAGCAAAATGCAGTAGTAATGCAAATGAATGAGCTGGCATCCTTCTGATTTGGAAGGATCGGTAACAATGCAACAATCAATCCTAAAATGCTTAGAATCCACAAGGCAAGAATTTATGACCAGTCAATGGGAAAAGAATAAATATAGATACAAATACTGTATTTCCTTTCTGTACTGCAATTATTCTCCCTCCCAGCAGGGGTTGACAAATTACAGACTTTACGCTTAGTTTTAGAAAACCGATAAACCTACCTTGAAGTAAAAAACACTCTAATTTTGTCTTTCCCAAATAGAGAGGTGAGAGATGGGATTTGAAATGAATTTATAAAACAAGTTTCAGTTTCTGACCAATCACTCCAAAATGGAACTTAACAGAAATCTTTGTTCTGAAACAAGTGCGAGGCACAGTTGAAGTACTAACATGGAGTTCACTTGAGCTATAACATTTTTTTCTATTTCTGCTTGAATGAGGTCTTCATTTTATCAACTTTCCCAAACCTCTTTGGATTTCATTTGGACTATGACCTGACAGTAAATTTTACAAGACAGCAACTTTTGCTGTAAAACCCAACTTTCCAAGCATCTGATGGAAACTGAAGTCTATTTCTTTTCTATTTGGATAACCAACTCTTCTCAGTGACAGGATCAAAATATATTTGCCCTGGGTAAAATGAGAATATAGAAAAGGTTAATAGTTACTGTGTGTCAATGGTTACAGTGTAGTGGTGCAAAGATAAAAATCTATGTTGTGCATCTTGACAGGAGATTAATTAGGCAACAGGTGAATATGAAGAGGAAGCACAGAAGGGGCAATGCAGTTGGCAGCTGTTGAAGAACTGTGAATGCAAAGTATTGCTATGTGAAAAAAAAACAACTTGTTCTTAGTTCTCAATATGGTAGATTGAGACTCTGGGCTTGAGATCAACTGAAAACTGCCCTTTCGTTTTACAAAGTTCCTATAGGCGGCCTAATTTGGTATATATTTGTCTTCTGACTCATGTTCTCACTTCTGAACTGTGATCTCTGCCATCAGTTCTTCACAAGTAGAATTAAGGGCAGCTCATTCACTTGGGCCAGACTGACTACTACTCTTCCCCACCTCACTTGTTTCTTCAGTTTCTATTACAGTTACAATATTTGCACCTTTAAATTGCTGGTGAATGCTAATCCTCATCTTCTGCTGCTTGTAGACCAAACTAGTCCCCAACAGGAATGTAAATAGGACAAGACAAGCAGGGCACCCGCCCTGTTCACCAATTTGGAGGGGGTGCCAGGATCTCCCCCACCAGGAATCTTTGCAGCAGTGGAGGAAGCCCTGTGCTGCACCTGCCCAGCCACAGGAGTGGCAGAGTCTAGCACTGCACCCCACCACAACCCACCAACGTATGTTTCTGGGGGGTAAGGGTGAGTGCACAAATGAAATGCTGCTCCCCTACCCCAAGATATGGTGCTTGTGGTGCCTCACTGCACAGGGGCAGGGCTTCCCCCACTGCTACAAAAGTTTGGGGGGAGGAGGGGTAGAGGAATCCCCCCCTGTTCCTCTCAGGAGTCTTTGCCACAGCAGGGGAAGCTCTGCACTACTCATGCCAGGTCACAGGAGTGAGACAGCTCAGCGCCACACCAAGCAGTATACATGGGGGGGAGGAGAGCACCATTATACTTGCTCTCACCCTCCCCGCCCGCAAATACACTGCTTGGTGCAGCACCAAAGGGCTTCCACCCCCTCTACAGACTCTAGTCCCTACCTTTCATTCCACTAAAGAATTTCTGCTGAAGAAAACCCTACTCTGCTACTGAAGCCCGCTATCCTAGCTCAAGATACTCATAGCAACCAAATGAGATTACAAAGAGTTTTTACTTGACTGACCCCATTCCTTGTAAATTTCCTACATTTTTCAAGTTGACAAACAGCAACAAGACCCCATTTCCACCTTCTCCTCTCCCAACCCTTCAACTTAACATCAGCTCCAACATTACATTATTTCACCCAGCACCACTCCCTTTCCTCAGCTTCTTAGAACAAAAGTGCTACCTTGCACATGGACCTGCCCATCTTAACTGCAACTTTCTGCCCATATTTTGACACCCCATTCAACAAGCAATCTTCACGGTTCAACCCTCCCCCACACAAAGTAATCAAATACATTCTCTGAAATACTTCTGCTTGGCCCTTTCTCACTTACAAGTTTGTTCCCTATGCTCAGCAGTCTTGCATAAGGGCTTCTCAGAATTAGCTGTGAGAGGTGGAAAACCGAACAATTTAAATCATTTCAATGCCAAAGTTGCCTAGAGTTATGTTAAGCAAGGCTATTTCACCAACAGTGGCTGCTCTTTGAAAGCCCGCAAGGGTCAAGTAATATAGCATAGCATCTTCACTTAATCTGAGGAAACAGCTTTGGCTCCTTTCCTTCATCTCATCTTCACTGGGGCTCAGCTCTAACAATTTCCTCTTCCTTCTTCTCCCTTCAAGGCTTTATTAGTGACACCAATTATGATAATTTTGAGGTAATCTAGCTACACCTCTCAATTTTTCAATACCCCTTCTCCAATCATTTACCTGTTACGATTTTAAACTTCAAATTTAGTTCCAGACAATGAATGTCTTGCTTAGAAAACAGCCTGAGATCCCATGAATATTTACTACCATTCCCCCTACCTCAGACCTCATCTTTGCTTGCAGGGCCAAAATAAATCCTGGATTTTCACATCCCTCTCAGTAAGCAATACATAGATTTGGAACGCGAGGAACACTGCTAGAATTCATCCCGCTCCTGTTGGCTCTGTCTCAACTGGAATCCCTACACATACACTGCTTAAAGCAAGCCTATCCTATGGCTACCGCAGGAGAATGTTTATTCTTCATGGGTCCAGAATGCTGCTGCTAGACGAGATACAAAGCAGAACAGCAAGGGAACTTCAGATAGAAGAATACTACTTCCATTCTCTCAGTTCCCTCTACTTCCTGTGCATATCATGTCCATCCCCAAATTGCTCTTTATTCAAGAAACCCTATGGTCTTGCTTGACCCAAACTCACTCAACCACCTGCTCACACTGTGGACTTTCTGATCTCCCCCAAAATTCTCCATAACCAGACTAAAAGATGAGCTCACTCACTCTTGCTACCTTACTTAGCTGATTTTCTTCCCTGCTTCCTCTCAGCTACCACGCCAATTCCTCCTCAGTTTTGTTTTAATCTTCCTTCTCTTTTTAACATGCGTGTTTACACCCCAGCACATGTATAAAAAGCTGAGAGTGCAAAAATAGAGGAAATTAAATGCTGGTAAACCCCATGAAGAGCACTGAACTGAATTCCACAACAAACTCTTCAACTTCAGTGGCTCCCTGAAAGTTTCAGCACCTCACTCAAACCCAGAGGCTCTTAGTCAATAAAATATGAAACTAAATACTGACCCGCTAGAGAGATTAACACTTGGAAGGTTATTTTTGTAACCATAAAGACTAAAAAAAAATGACAAGTGAAAGCTTGGATTTTTCAATCAATCTATAACAACAGGTAACTTCTTCAACTAGAGAAAACAAAAGGGATCCAATTACTGCAAGGTGGATCTACAAGGTCCCTTCCGACCCCACTTCTATGATTCTATGACTGCATCTGGTTGCATATGACCTTAGTTTCAAAAACCTCTGTCCACCCAGCAGTCCAAAAGCAACAAATGGCTAATGGGCTTATTGAAGAAGTTACAAGGAAAAGAAAAACCCTTAACTATGAAATGAACTTGCCATAGAACAAAAGTGGCAGAAAAAGTTGGCAAAGCAGCTTTGAAAATTTCAAAGGCATAAGAAGATTTCTAATATTTTCTGAGTAGACACATTTAAATTGAATGAGATGGATAAAAGTTGAGATATGAAGGGTAAATAATACTATCTTTTATAGCATTGTATTGATCAAAGCCATTATTGCTGAAACTTCACTTTTACCTTATAAGAAGAGATATAACTGACTATACATTGGAAACTAAATTAAGATGCAATATAAAGCAAAGCAATGCAAAAATCCAGGGGTCACAGTCAGCTGAAGACTGTACTTCACAGTAAAACTATTTTTGCATACGTTAAGAGACATTAATGCCTCCAGCTTCAGCTATTACATTCCTGTCTGTCTCATTTTCTATCCACAGGGCGTTTTAAAAAGTTTTATTACGTGGGCATACTGAAGCATATGGCAAACACAGCTTTAAGGAGAGTTATGATGACTAGGATTCTACATGTAACATTAAGCATTTCCTAAAATTCTTACAAATTAATCTATTTTAATAAACAAGGCCCTTACAAGGAGGTGAACTCAGACACTTTCTCTACCTAGGAAGCTCAGCATTTTCAGTACATAGCACTTTTTATGGAATGTACTAAACACTGCAGTATCATTTAAAAAGTAGATGGAAGACTGATTAGATCATCCAGTCTACAAATCCACCAATGGAGAATGGCTCTCAATGGCCTGGTGCCTGGTTTTGCTATCTCTAGTTCTTACAGGTTCCCAACAGTGAGTTTTCTTTCAAGTCTACAAAAACAAGAATGACACAACCCAATCTCCACAAATCAGGAGAATCTTCCTGAAATCTATGAAAATATTTGAGATGCTACACAGACCCTCACGCTCACACAAAGCTTAACATTTCAAATGCAGCTATTAAGGGTTTTTTCACCTCTAAAAAACTTTAATAAATAAATACATAAATAAATAAATGAAAACTGAAAGAGGTTGATCTCCCCCAGTTACTTTAAGCTAAAAGCAGCTGCCAAGGCCACAAATGGGACCAAATGACCTCTGAAGACGGATGAGATTTTTTTTTTTTTTTTTGGTCGTAATCCGATCAATTCTAAAACCACTGCAGATTTACCTCCCGCAAGAAAAGTGGGGCACTGCAGCCTGTGGCCTTGCTCAACCTGCAGCCTCACAGCTCACTGGCTTTATTATACAAGAGCTTTGGAAGATTAATTTTCATTTATAAGGACTGTACATCCAGCTTAGACTTTTGCTCAGAAACATACTCGAAACAGGGAACAGGGAAAAATAGAATTAACCCCTCTGAGGTTCATCAGCATCTTTTCCTAATGCCAGCAACAAAAAATTTGGAAGAGGGCTTGAAGGGGGTGTTAACTTTGCAATTTAAAAAGAAAAAATGTTCCCAGATTTTACATCCCTACTAGCTCCTCCCTCTCACCTCCTGCTCAGACTGAAGTGCTTAGAGCAGCGATTATGAACCAGGATGCTGGGGCATCCTGAGGTGCTGCCAGAATCTTTAAGTGCCCTGAAGTGTGAGAAGACAGCAAGATATGAAGAGATAAGCAGGTATTTAAGCAGATAAACACAGGCTCAGGCTTGCCCCTGCCTGGATGTCTCCCCACCCACACTGCCTAACCACGGTGCAAAGTGGTACACACTGTAATATATAGTTTTTGAAAAATACTGTAGCTACTATATTCACAAAAGTTACAGAGGGGTGCCTTGAGCCCAATAAGCTATGCCATGAGCCCAAAAAGTTTGAGCAACACTGGCTTAGAGAAAGATAGGGTTAAAGTCGATCAATATACAATTATACCAACATTCAGATTCCAATTGTTATGGCTCAAGACAGCAAAGCTGCATTCTACAGAGTACAAGGGTTAGAGGGAACCCCAAGAGTCTTCTAGTCCAAGCCTCTGCATAAACACAGGATCCACTGTCCAGAAATCATCCCAAGACAGATGCCTACTGTCTAATGTGGATCAAGCAGTATCCATACATCTACCTGTCATTACTAACACATCTAATATATTAACCACCCAACTCACTGTTGTTCAAAACTGGTTAACCTCCTGGACAAACCTTAAAGGGATTTTCATTATTTCCCCCAATCATTTATGGTAGAACTCACCTTGTCCTTGCAGGGTCTTTGGCAGTTCTGGGCAGCGCACACAGCATTCTCATCATCAGACTCTTCAGCTCCTGACCAGTCATATTTAGAAGGAATATCTAGTACCTTCTTCTCTCTCTTCTTCTCTGTGCTCTCCTTTACTAGCTCTACCTTTGCTGCAGCTGCCTTCTCTCGTTTCTTCTTCCGCTCCTCTTCCTTGGCTAGTTTCTTTGCCAACTTGTTCAACTCCTTTGTCTTGTCCATGGTTAATTTTAGTTTCTTCTTTTTGGGCTTCTCCAGTTTCTTCAACTCTTTAGATTTCTGCTTCACTTCTCCAAAGAACTGCTCTGCCTTTTCCAGCTTTCGTTTTCGTTTCCTCTCAGAAGAATCTCTCCCTCTCATTTTTAATGGCTTCTCATCCAGGCTGTCATCCTTCACAAAAAAGGTGACAAGAAATTTTAAAACTGAGGATTCTACATGTTACATTTTCATCATCTACTTAAGACATTTTCCAACCACTACTGTACCCACTCTATCTAAAGAGAAAGGACACTGCCTGTCATAGAATCATAGAAGTAGGGTCGGAAGGGACCTTGTAGATCTTCAAGTCCGACCCCCTGCCTGGACAGGAGGAAAACTGGGCTCAATTGACCCCAGTCAGGTAGGCATCAAGCCGCTTCTTAAAGACCCCCAGGGTAGAAGCCAGCACCACTTCCCTTGGAAGTTGGTTCCAGATCCTAGCCGCCCTTACTGTGAAGTAGTTCTTACGGATGTCTAATCTAAACCTACTCTCCAACAACTTGTGGCTGTTATTCCTTGTTATCCCAGGGGGCGCTAGGGGAAACAAGGTCTCCCCCAAACGATTCTGGTCCCCCCTAGTGAATTTATAGACAGTCACCAGGTTCCCCCTCAGCCTTCTCTTGTGAAGGCTGAACAGGTTCAGGTCCCGTAGCCTCTCATTGTAGGGTCTGCCCTGCTGTCCCCGGATCATGCGGGTGGCCCTCCTCTGGACCCTCTCAATGTTGTCCACATCCCTCTTGAAGTGGGGTGCCCAGAACTGGACACAGTACTCCAGCTGTGGCCTGACCAGTGTCGCGTAGAGGGGGAGGATCACCTCCTTGGACCTACTTGAGATGCACCTGTGGATGCATGATAATGTCTGGGTAGCCCTGCCAACCGTGACCTCGCATTGTCGGCGAGGTCAAAAAATGTGGATTGACAAGCCCTAATTTAAAAAGATGCTCATCTATAGCATTCAACAAACCAGTGTAAGGAGATAATTGAAGTTAACTGGATAAGAAGAAGAAAGTGTTAAAAGTCAACACTGCCCAATGAAAAACAAAGATCAAAAGGTTCTGGATAAGCTGTAGATACTATTTCCTTCTTTTATTCACTGCTATAACAGCTATTTGTAGGAAGACAAATGATTTAGGTATTTAAATGTTAATCTGTTACTGCTTATTACTTATCTCAAATTAATCTTGTTTGCAACAATTGCTTCCACGAAAACCAAACGTTGCTTTGGTTGGAAAATAAAAATATCGACTGGTGAATTATGAAAAACAAAGGTCCTCTCTCTCAAGAATGTCCCATGTGCTCAAAAATAAGGGGAACAAGAAATGCTGATGTGTGATCAGAATGGTTTCTGAGAAACACTGTGCATCTTAAGTAGCATTGGTACTACTTAAAAAACCCACCACCATAATTACAATTTAAAACAAATAAGATGTCAGGGCAGTTAACATTCAGTGCATCAAACCCTACCTATTTATACTCCAGGGCTTCACAAGTAAATAATGATCTTTGTACAAGCACAAGAACCTTGCAACTGCAGTCAAACTATGCACTAAACTTTAATGACTTCAGAAACTGAATGTATGCTTCAAACCAATACAGCAAGATTCAGCCCTCTGCTTTATTGTAAGACATATAGTGAGGTTACTCAGCCCAACAAATCCACTAGGAGATTCTGTTCAATTAAAAAGAAACAACATAAAAACTAACTGAAATATTTTTCATTTAAAGTAAGCAATTTGGTCAAACAAGCTTTCAAAATGGTTACGCTAAAACGCATTTGGTGTATAGCACTTTACTTGCAAGATCTGTATAACAAATTTGCTAGCATTCATGCTACTTTTCCCCAAAGCATTTCCGTAAGAAAACAATTCAATTAAAAGAATGTTAATGATACAAAACAAAGTACTCGAATCAGAAACGGACAAATTTATGATTGCACACACAACCCTAATCCTGCCCTTTGGTGCATATGTATTATGTATGTATGTATAATTTTAACTAACGACATTTTCTGCAAGCTTCATGACTTATTAATTGCACAACGTGGATGATCAAAATACCTTTCTTCCTATTCAAATTGCTTGGTGTTCCTATTTCTCATTTGCTGCATACTCCCAAAATGGACTCCTCTCCTATAACTTTACTGTGATGCTCATTAATTGTCTTAGGTATCCATTTTATACTCAATAACCATGCAAGATCAGAAATTGCTGCTATTCCCTTTTAACAGATGCAGAAGTGTTAAGTGCCTGAGGTCACTTAGAAGCTTAAGTTTTCTGGGTTCCAGTCCAGTTCTTTCAACCATGAGAGCTTGCCTCCTCTCTTCCAGCAAGCATGTAGGTCATTCATACAGACTATGTAACTTTGCAGTGAACGAGACACAGGTACTCTGACCAGAACCTCTTTCTCTATTAAGTATGTGAGGTGAATGAGGTGAGCATCATAACTGTCTTTTTATGATGAAATAACAGTAAAAGTCCTGTAATACATATGGCAGAAGGGAGCAAGAATTTAAGTTGCACTGGCAACTTTAACTGCTCTTTCTCTTGTTTATTCCTAAATTATATTTGTATTCAAAAGCAGAGTGTCCATGTGCAGTAAGGTTTTTATTTTGAAACCATTTTTCTTTCTAATGTGTTTTTATTCCAAGCAACTCATTCAAGCATTCTGAATGCTTTGCCCTGCAATCTTAATATTTTTTAAATGAAATTTGGATGTGGAATTTCACTTTTAAAAATCCACTAAGTTTTAACTATTTTCAGGACAGCTTTGGGATGTTTTGCATTGCACAACATGAACAATCAAGACAAAAATGTTATTGCTATAGAGCATATAGAAGGAAAAAGTGTTTGTAGAGTGATCTATCCACCAGACACATCTTACAAAGGAATGGCAAGCTGAACGAGAATGGTGGAACTGCACACGGGAGAGAAATGCATCCTACTTAAAGTGAATTAGCACAGCGGTGAGAGGGCAAATATTTTTGGACTGGAGGCATCTTTAGCCAAGTCAGACTGAACATCAAGGGAACAAGCTCTTCTTAAGAATCCAAAATTCCATCTTTTTAAAAAATGGAAATTAAAACATATTGATACAATTTCCTCCTATCCTAGAATTTTTTCTGCCTTTCTGTACCTCCATGACGTGAAGGAATCTGTCCTCTGAAGGTGGATGCGTGGCCTGTAAAATCCGCCAGATGTGCTGGGTCTCATCCAGCGATACCTCTAGGAGATCTCCTACCATCATCAGATCCTCTAATTGGGACTTAGCTCCAGGTGACAACTCCAGTACAGGGGGTTCCAAACTGCGAGGTACCAGAGGGCTCTTCCGGGGCTGCTTTCTTGGGGTGCTAGAACCTTTCAAAACAGAAGGCAAATCACGTAAAACAAAAAAGAAGAGACCAGAAACAAGAAAACCGCGTGTTACTTCCCAGCAATGCTCTAAGACAGAGATGCCCAAAAGAGAAAATATGGGCACTGGTACAGCTAATGGCCAAATAGTGTTGATAGAATATTGATGTATATTCCTTTATGCAATGAACACCATCTTCTCCATGTGTAGACATTGTATTCCCAGAACCTAATACAGATGGCAAGCATTTCTCAGCCACCTTCAGTGCAAAGAAAAGGAAATACCTTGTGAACAGCTTTTAGAAGCAGATGAATATGCATGTTCAGCACAGAAAGAGGGAGCCGTCCACATGTGTGTCACCACTTCCTCTGACTTGATGGGGATCTCCTCATCACAGAAGAGGTTCGGTTCCAGGCTGCTGGAAGATTTCACACTGACATTGTCCTGAAAAAGGCAAAGCAAGAAAATAAATCCCAGCTTTAATAATCTTTACGTACTTAAATATCTACCTCTATGAAGCAGATCTTTGTGGAAAATGATCAAAAGCACGCTACTTCCAAGAACCTGCTCAGAAGTGACCTGCCAAGGAAACTAACACCACCAGCACATGGTGCTATTAACGTAAGTAATGGGATGGTGGCAGCATTTATAGAGAAAAGTCAAAATGTTTGCTTAAAACTGTACTTGCTAGCATGTCACATGCCCTGAAAAGACACACGTGTTGTTTATGGAAGGCAGAATCTATACAAAAAGATTTTTCCACAGTCATGGCTGATGGTATGACAGAATATGTCCTGGAAACACGGAATGTCCAGTAAGTGTGACATCCCAGGATACAGTTTGGGTGAGGCAGCAGGGGGCTTCCTGCTGTGGCTGGACAGAAACAAGGCTAGGCCCCACACCCATATGCTAGCAAGACTGTTACTTCTTTATTGTAAATAGTTCTTTACTCAAGTGCCCATAAAGAATCAAGTGTTGTTTCCACAGCACAAGCCTCATCAAGATATTACTGCATGAAGTGGCTCACTTTCCCTGAGCTAGCTCAGTTGCTTCTTCAGGTACCAGCTATGGCACTCAGCTAAGCACTGTGCTCAACTACTACAAATTCCTTAGCAGCTGTGAGAAAGTCAACCCAGGACACTGTTCCTCCAGCTTGCTGGGGCCAGAGATAAGCGGGAGCCATCTTGGCAGCCATTAGAGCACAGCATCTCCATGCTTCTATTCCAGCAAAGGAGACAAAATCAGCTTCCCTTCTTAAGATATGCACCCCAATTTTGGAGGGCTGATAATGGGGGAGAGGTGGCGCAGAGGAAGGTATGCATAGTATGCGAGTTAATGCAGTACTACCCTCAATTGATGTGTAAGAAATCTAAGTCCCCACCTGTGAACTTCACAGGTCAAACAAAAGCCATTCCCTGGAGATCCCTGCTTTAGAGGCCTAGGGTTTGTGGATTATATACATTCCTAGCTACCAGAATAATTCTGATTTACAGTATGCCACTGCCAAAGCCTGTCAAACTTAGCATTTGTCTATGGATAGAGAGAAATTCTTTAGACCACAAAACCCCCAGGCCCAGCTGTTTTGTTAAACCTGAAATACCATAAACATTTCTTGTCACCAGTCCCAAGACTTTGAAAAACAGGCCACATCTAAAGTAGCTACATTATGACTATTAGTGTGAAACCAAAGAACTTGTATTCTCAGTTGACATCTTGTGTATACTATTATGCTAGAAATTAAACAATAAATTACTGGACTTTTGCTGTTCAGGCTTTTAAAATTGAAAATCTGTTATTTCATGACTTCATGTAACATGAAGAAATTGAAGTGACACAAGTAACAAACCAGCTGCTGAACTCAGACTCTACATCAGTTTGAAATTATACCTCTCCCAAGTGGAGAGGGTTCAGAAAGAATAATTAAAGGAAGATCATAACAACATAACAAATCTACTAATATTTGTTTAATAGCTGTAAACATTCAAGGATGCAAGGGACATGGGATGAAATTAAGAAAATATACAATTAATAAGCCAAGTAAAAATTTAATTGTCAGAAAGTTAATCAGGTTATTAGTGATAGCCTCAATATTTGGGGCATACAAAACAGGTTACAGGACTAGTAATCAAGTAGTTTTGATAGCAAGAAAAGCTAGAAAAGTAGGATATGATAAAACAAACCTTTCTAGGTCAATTTGCATAATTCTATACAGTCAAAAGTTCCAGAATCCTAAGACTCAATAACCAAATTGAAATCCTGCGACTGCAGAATGTTTTATTTTTTAGAATTCAAGTTGTACTCCTGCAAAATCCTCAAAGCTTGACAGGAAGTTCCACTCTTCTGAGTACACGACTTGATACTCCACATCTCTCGCAGAAAAATCTTCTGATGACTAGTTCATTCTAGTACATAGGGCAGTTCGGAAATATTTGGATATTTTTAATGACAGTTTAAAACTCCACACTAATTGCAACCTCCGATTACCAGCATGCCTTTCTCTACACTTCATATAGGATTATAAAATTATTACACTAATATTTTTAGCTGCTACCAATAATTAGAGAGTCAATTATTAAGAGGATGAAGAATCTGAAAATACCTGAAATAACTTAAATGCTTAAAATTAAAGGCTGCTTACAGATGTTAAAAAAACAATGCTTTAAGTTAAACTCAGTGCACTCCCTCACCGAGGCCAGTGCATGACCAGAAAAGGCATCACGTTAGTTGGACATGGCTCACCCAACGTCTGTGTAGACTCAGTGCTTTACTGAGGCTTTTTTGGCATTTTTATCTAATAGCTGACTGAATCAGATTTAGATAAAAGCACCAAAAGGCCCTGCTGAAGCACTCAAGCTATACAGATGCTGCGGAGCCAGGCTGAACTAATGTATTGCTTCCTCCAGTAAAGCACAGGTTTTTGTTTGTTTGTTTTTCTAACATCTGTAAGCAGCCAAAATGCATTAAGATAAAAAAATCAAAAAATCAAGGACCTATTAGAAAATAGATAGGACTTATCTTAAAGCAAGGTTGAAATCAGACAGATTTATTACCATTTTAAAAGTAGCCTCTATAGTGTCTAATGGGTTTTATTTTTCTCACCTCTAATGTGTCTCATGGAAGAAATACAATGCTGCATCCCTAAGGTGGCCATCCACACAAAGAAACCATTGTTACACATTCAGTAAGTGTAGAGACGAACATAAAAGTGACATCTCAGAACCATTTTAAAAATGTATTGTAATAGTCTCATTAAGACCATTCAGTTGTCTTTATAGATTTGCATTTTTCTTTTGAAACATTCTTTGCTGCTAAAAACTAAATAAATTCCAAAGCCAGTAAGAGCAGTTTTGTTTTGTTTTGTGAAAATTCCTGGAGTTAACATTTACCAGCCAGAGCTATAATCCCAAACTTCTACACATGGTGGAAACTGAACAAATTTTACTTCTTCCACATGCTGGACTGGGGAAGAGAACCAACAGCAAAGTGAAAAAGGAGTCTAGGTAGTAAGAAACTTTTTACAAAGCATGGAATTGCCAAAGCCCTCTTTCTGCTACACTGGAGCTTGAAAAAGGAGTTCCCTCTATCAAAACTGCAACTAGTATGTAACATCTATGAAAAAGGCCATGGAGTTATACAAACAGTCTTCCATTCTGATCTTCAGAGCAAAGAGTAGGGTTCAAGTGTTGTAGTTATGATAATCCAAGAGTACATTCTTCTCAAGTTTGCTTGTAGTCTCAAATCATGCCTGAAAAGCTTTTTTTAAGCCCTGGAAAAATGTTTTTGTTTCCTTCCTCTAATCATAACTCATTATAAAACTGTGAATGCATCCTTTTGTAACACTTAATATCCCCAATTTATGTTTAAATAATCATATACAGGCCTTATCACAGAAATAAGGCTACAAGATAGGTAGCCAAGCCTTAAGGTACAGTATATGAAAATCATTCTGGAATGGTGAGGGCAAGTTAATGTGGAATAGTTGTTCCAGAATAACTCCATACATGAATATTTATTCCAAAGCATCTACAAATACAGTTATTTCACAACAGCTGGTCTACACATGGAGTTATTTAAGTTTGTTATCCATGCTGGTTACTTGCCTTTATGTCATAGCCATAAGTCTCCCTGATGTCTTCATCAGAATCTGTCTCTTCATCGTCATAATCCAGGGTCTGTCGTGGAGATGAGGAAACACTCCCTATCACTCGGTTAAAAGCAGATTGCTGGAAACTAGTCAAGTGGCCCTACAAGGCAATGGAACACAAATGGAACATGCTTTAAGGGAGTGCAGCAAGGCTTGCTAATACAGAAAAGGACTTTTCAAAGGCTGGTGCCATCCTTTAGCCTCAAGACTGCTACCTGCTCACGCACAAGTAAAGCCTGTGTAAAGCTGTGACCCAAAGGTCTGGGCAGAGAATATGGGATGATATGCCCAGAAGGATCCTGTATTTCTAGCCCTTTTGAGAACTAGTAGCTGGACAGCCATAGATTTATTTTCACCCAACTGTCATCACAAGATCAATGGCAACACAAGCCTCACCTTCAACATTACTGTGTCATCAATGAACATTTCTGAAAAATTCTGATGTGGCAGACATCTATAGAAGCTGTAGTAGCTACTTGCAGTCCTCTCTGAAATTATTAACCTGGCTATCAATCACTCTATGGGCTAATATCCACAACAAACCAGACTAAGGCCAATTATGTACTTCATACATGTTGCTGACTTTCTGGCCAGAGGGTAACTAACAGATGCCTTACAAATCCCTCAGAAAGTGTTCTGATACCCTTCACTTATTTACTTACATCAGTGACAGACAACTGACATAATTCTCAGTCTGCAACTGCTTCTTTCTGAGAGGCTCAAAGGCAGACAAGACGTTTCACATACTGATAAAATGTTGGTGGATCTCGGCAATGAGGCTAGGAGTAGGATACCCAGATGCTTACCTGTAGGTCAGGATTAGCTGCTGCTTTCTGTAGCTCTGCACTGATTATTTTCTCTGTTTTCTCCCGTGCTGCCTGCTCCACCATACGCTGGCTGAGCACAGAAAGCTTGGCCAAAGCAGAAGACAGTTCATCAGTAGCCAGAGCCTGCCGTGCTCGGTCCTGCCAGCCCATGGCACGTTCTGTCAGGCACTGCAGTGCCTCCCCCTCTGGCAACCGTACAGGAAGCTTCTGCAGGGACACCAGCAGAGACAGGATGGTCTCAAGCCGGGGTCTTCGAGAACGCATGCAGAGTGGGCACAGGAACTTGACTTCTTTGGCCTGCCAACTGGAGCCCTTCTTTTGGGAACTGGTTTTGGGGAGTGGCACACAGCCACTGTGAAACCAATCCTTGCAGAGCTCACATTGTAGCATGAACCCACTAGCTGTTTTTCGACAGATGCAGAACTTCACTTCCTCAATACGATCCACCATGGTCATCTTAGCTAGGTTAGCTGCCCTGAGGGCATGCATGGCTTCGATCTCCTTCTGTTCCCGCTCCCTGAATATAGCCACCTGCCCAGCACAGAGAAACAAAAATAGCTGGTACCTCTATCACAACAAATGGACTCAAAGTTTTATTAGAGAGGAAAAAAGAATGAAATTAATCAAAAATCTTCCAGGCACAAAATCCAAAAGAAAAATTAAATTTTAAGTTTCACTTCAGAACCGTGGTATTCCACCACTCACGCAAAGAAAATATATTTTTACGGTACGATCTTTCCCAAAGTTTCCAAAACAATTTGCGAACTTCAAAAAGGAACCAACCTCTACCATGGAACATTTCCAAACTCACCAAAGCAAAAGCATCTCTCAGGTAAAATGCTGACCCAAAAGTTGTTGAAAATCCATTTCATAATGTGAGTTATGGATAAAAAACAGAAAACAGAATGTGCCTGCTTAAGTTGGAGTTTGATTAAAAAACCCAAGTTAATTCCTATATAAAGGGAAATGGAATCTTTAATCACAGCAAAAGGAAACAGATCCTGGGTTTAGGGTAAAAAATCCCCTAATGCCCCTGCACATGTACTCACGCACGCACATACTAACAGCAGATTCCTCCTGACACAACCTAAGAGGCATATTATATATGTCTAAATGGGGCATAGCTTCATTACACATCCAATTAGGTGTTTCTTAGCACTTCTCATTCAAGACATGATCTAATCCACAAGGGGCCTGAGGTCTGATGGTTCACATGCAAGATAATGTAACTACAGGCTTTCAGCACTGTGCCAGTTTCCCTCATTCCTGCAGAAAATAAATCTGGAGGATAACTATAGTCTCATTTCTTTAATTTCTGGTATCATCAATTCACTAAAGAGATCTTAACATATTTTTCTCCATTCCCACAAGCTGTCCATTTTAAAAGAAAATGAGCACCAGCAGCAAGTGATTCAAATGATTTGTGTGGGAGGGATGGAATGGAATGGGTAAAATGCTAAATAAACAGTGCAGCTTTACCAGTGGTCAGGGTAGCTCAGGCTCTGGTATCTTACATCAATAATGCAAGAACATGAATTACTCGTAAGCACCCAAGCAGCTGTTCAGTAAGAGTAAATTTGCACACTTCTAATAAAAGTTTTGCATAGGCACCCAGTGGCATCACTGTTTTGCTGTAAATCAGTCTGCTTCTTTAACAGCAATTTCTGGAGGTTGTACTACCTGACTGCAATACATTTCAGTTTGGTGCATAGGACAGGTCTAATCTAATCCAGTCTTGCCCTTTTTTTTTTGTGGTGCCAGGTATTTTTAAGGTATTTCCATTTATATTCATAAGTGACGGAAACATAAACATTAAACCCATAATTAATCTTCTTTAGCCAAATACACATGGCAACACCTCAGTATATGTGCTTCCTTCTTCTACTATCAAAACCTATTTAAAACATCCTTGGAGTGCCACGATCAATGCTGTGTGAACTGCATATTCTGTCAGGCTTATTACTGTGAAGTATTTATTTCACAGAGATTTACGTAACAGTTTTCAGTATAAAAACTATACTTAAGCATCTGGAATTTACAGACAATCAAGTTATGGAATCAGAAAAGGAAGGCTGGAAAGGACCTCAAAGTCATCTTGCCCAATCCCTCCTTAAGGCAAGAGCATCCCTGGCTAAACCATTCCTGTCAAGTTATGAGTAGTTAGCATGCAGACAGGCTTCCCTTCAGATCAAAAACTCCTAAAATCCAGGAGATGCCAGTCCCACAGCATAGCCCCTTACCACAGTTGCAGTGTCCCTAGCTTCCTCAAGCCCATCCTCCAGTTCACTCAGAGATTCCAAGTCAAGATCCTTCTCTTTTTCCTTCTCCATTAACTCTTTTACCCTTTTCCGTCTATTCTTACTGCTTCCATAAACTCCAATATCAGTCCGGGGACTCAAAACCTGTAACCAAAAAGACAAGAACGTAGGATCTTAGGACAACAACAATGTAAAGAAAAACATTCTAAACCAATACTGCTATGTTGGCTGAGGAACAGATGAGAGCACATATATCATGTATGCAACCAGCCTCGTTATACTGCAAAATAAATACCTCATCTCTCTCATAACCCTGCTGTAAAACAGATGAAAAACTGATGAGCATCTTTGATACCTCTAAAGTAATGGCAAAATGGAAGGGAATAAACACAAAAAAATAAGACTGAAGTCAGTCCCAAGTATTATAGCTTGCAGCCCTGGAATATTAGTGTAATAAAACAGGTACTGTAGCTATTTTCAGCTGGATTCTGAACCCCAGGATCCTGCATAAGTCAGCCTCTAGTCTTGAACTGGGACCTGAGGCCTCACTTTGGCCAATGCTGATGAAGAGTCAGACACATGGCAGACCTGAGTCTGAAAACCAAGGCTGCACATGTGATAGGTAAAACCCTGGGGCATGGGAACTCAAGATTAGGGAGACACTCACCAGTTTGGGACTCCCAGTGCTCTGGGACATTTAGAAATGCATATACAGCTCAGCTGGGCTGCACATGCAGTTTTTAGACCCAGGGCTGCTCTGTGTCCAACCCTGATGCTCAGCTGAACACTGATATCTGACATGGGGCATGCACAGGACCAAAGGAGATGGCCACCCCAGCTGTGGAATCAGGCTAGGGGGCAGCCCCACGTCCAAGTTTGGCCTGCCAGCAGCTGTATGATTGGGATTTGAGGAATTTTATACCCAGTCCCAAGCACTAAACATCCTGCCAGCAGAAAGCAAATAGCTTCAAAGAAACAGTATTAAAAAGGCACAACAGCAAGCTAGCCTAGACTATCTATGCACATGTTCCAACGTGCTCTAATTAGAACATGTTGTCAGAGTAGACTTGATTAATAGAGTCTGCTGGAGAGTTCTAATTAGAACGCTCCAGTGCGCCTCATCCTCACATGTGTTTAGTGTCCCGCATTTCAAAATAGTGGCAGAGGTGCTTTAGCTAAAACTTGACAAACGAGCTTTAATTACAACATACCTGCAGCCATTTTGAAATGCAGGATGCTGAATACATGACCCTGTGCTCTAATTGTATTTAGAGCAGCTGTCTGGGAGTCACTCTAATTAAAACACCCTCCCCACCCCCCACCCCCAGGAGCATATGTATAGACACCCCTAATGTCAAGGAAAGATGGCACAGTAGGAGACCAATGTGTCTTCATCAGAAGTTTTTAACAACCCTAAAAAAACCAAACAAACTAGTTCTGCAAAAAGGGGAGACTGCTGAGGATGAGTATGAAAAACAAATCTTAAGCAGAGCAAGTGGACAAAATCACGTAGGGGCCTAAAACATAATATGAAAAAATTCTATAAATACACTGGCAGCAAAAGACAGACATACATGTAGTAACACAACCCCTTCTTCCCACAAACCAGTTTTTACCCACCTTCCCAGCAGCAATAGCTGAAGCTCTCAGTATGCAAAAGGAGACAGACGGCCCTGCCACCTCCCTCCCACTTTGCAGGAGTGAACCTTACATGCCATTCTATCATAATGAAGAGGAACCCAGTACAAATACCTCCATCCAAATCAGGTCCCTGGGCCTAATACAAAGCTGCATGCTGCTCACCTGTAACAGAGTGTAGCTTGAGTTCTTCTTCAGGAAAGTCCTTCCTGTGCGCTCCCTCCAGGCACGTGCTGCTGCTACCTGAGACTCCAGCTGTGGCAGTGCCTCAAGACGTACCGGTATTGGGCGGCCTTTTGCAGACAAGCTTTCCAGTTGCTCCAGATAAGCGTAATTGCTACCATTCTGGGGTAGAAGACAGCTCTCTGAGCCATGGGACTCTGAATTATATACCACACCCTCTGACTAAAACAGAACTTCACAGCCTTTAAGTTTGAGTGCCACTTTGTTCTTTCTTTCTTCCCATCTCAGTGATATCCAATACCTAGTTCTACATGTAATACATTTCCCACTTGCTAATGGACAATCTGTTGTGAATGGCTGCCTCAAGAAACTAGCATGGAAATCTTTCAACCTTTGGATTCCCAGTTCTACCAGTCAAACATAGTAGTCAACTGCTGGTCAGGAGCCCAGAAGAAATGAGCTGTTAGTCTCAGTTCAGTTACCAGCATGCAAGACTGCACAAGGTGGTCACCATTACCAATGGTATTCTTGGTCCAGAAGACAAAAACTGAAAATTCCCCTTTTCTCTAGAGATGACCTCCCTAGGCTAATGCCAAGGTAATATCCACAGGGTGCTGGAGAAGGGAAATTTGGACTATGCTTGCTCATACTGTACCTATTCCATAGATAGAGGTCCTCAGTCTACAGTGGTGTCAAATCCAGCACCTTACATTATGTATACATGGTAAAAAATAAAATGAAGTCCTTTCCAGCAGCTCCGTTACTTAAGGACCTAGGTGCACCAAGTCTCACCACGGCTAAGCATCTCTAGCGGCAATGTGTAGAAAAAACAACTTTGAGCCTAAATATGCATCTCAACAGAGTCGCTGTGAAGGTAACAGGAAAGGGAGAGAAGACCCACAGAACCTGTTGGCCTTTGTATTCCCTAAGGGGATGCACAAAAGGAAGGGGAAAAGCCTGGAACAAAAATCCAATGGGGAAATGGATAGCAGCCCAGAAAGAAAAGTACGGAGGTCAAACAAAGACTGGGGTTAGCAAGTTTAGGAGTTAAAAGGTTTCTGCTCTGACTTTCCTGGGCAGTGTCTGGGAAGAGCACACATGCCTATCAGAAAAGATGCAAGCAAGAGATTACAGTCTCTGCTGTTACCCCTACCTGAATGGCCTCCACTTTGGCTGTCCAGTCTCTAGCCCGGTGCAGGGCTTCTTTCAGTGTCAGTACATTAGGCAGGTAAGCTGGGATGTTCTTTGCTTCGTTCACGATGCCCTCCAGAGCCATCATGCTTTGACGTGGTCTAGAGTGAGAAAAACCTGATTCTAGCCTCTTCTCAAAGTGCTAGTCAACTGTAGCCATGATTCCAACAGGCTGTCTGTGCAGCTGATATCCCTGCACTGCAACAAAGTATACCATGGCTCTATTCTCATCAGGAGGGGCCTGTTCACTGATGCCAGCAGAAGTGAGGAAACTGATGATGTACACACCATCTTGGTTAGCAGACGAAGCATCCGACCTCAAATTCAACGTTACAACCCTGAGGAAGCTGGTGCTCGTAACATACTTGGAGTAAAAAAGGGTAACAAAAATAATGGGACTTCTCACACCTTCTTGCTGTGATCACTGACAACCAGAATGGGGCACCATCTCCACTTCAACTGATTGACCATCTCAGATTCCACCTTTTAGGAAGTCAGGCAGCAGGAAGCTGGTGGTAATGTTCACAGACCCTACTCTCTGCTACCTTTGTAAGAGACAGGGCACACATTTCAAAGGAACCTCCAGCTGTTACTGAATAGTTACCAAGGGAATACTTACCTTGCCTGTAGACAGACTTTGGCCTTCTCCTCCCACCTCTCAGAGACAGTAAGCAGCTCCTGCAGCTCAGCCATGGCCTTCTCTACAGCATGATGTGGTGCCAGCCCAACACCTGAGTCAATCAGCTTCTTCATCACATCCAGGGTGACCCTCAAGGGGTCTGAAAGGGTGGACCTCACCTCATCCAGCCAACGTGCCTGCTGCAGTTCTTGCTTCAGCCGCGGCAGTTCAGGAAGTTCCACATAGAGGCCAGAACCCATGTCTATCAACATTTGCAGCTTGGAAGAGTCTGGGACCTCATCCATCATGGCCTCTTGAGCACGCTCATGAAACTCCTCCACATCATCCAGCAGGTTCTGAAATTATACACATCAAACATGCTCAATCAGCAACAAATGCCATGATAGATTCAAGCTGTGAATCCAAGAATGACCAGCCACATCTGGGTTCACACCTACTACAAACAAATTAATCTATTATAAACCATGAAGACTGAGATCTGCAGGAAACAAGCCTGTACAAGATGCACTCTAGGAACATCAGCCTCCATCAGAGTGGGCAGGCAGGACTATGGTGCAGCTGTGACTATGGTGGCTGAGCATGACCCCAAAAAGAGCTTTGTGAACTTCCCTTAGAACATTAACTTAAAAGAGAAAGTTTGTGTAAACAGATGATTCATTCAATCCAGCAGCAGCCTTCACCAGGGTGCAACATTCTTCAAGGAGGAAAGCCCATTCAGTCCACCTCCCTACCAATAAAGGACTACTCCTGGAAGCAAAAATTACCCTGCAGCTTTTATATCAGAAAGCTTTGCCAGTTGCATTTTTATGCTAAAGAAAAAGAAAAAAGAAAAAGAAAAGATCCAAACGCACCTTTACTTGTCGGGCTTGGCTGATAACACAGGGTAGGCTGAATAGCTGTTGAACAAATGCTTTCAGTTCTTCCATAGTCAGCTTGGTCCGAGTCCTCCCACTATCCTGGCTCAGCCTGCTACACAAGTGAAGGGACGATTACAGACAAAATTCAATAAAAGAGTGAGAAAGCAATCACTGGGGCAAGTTCCCAACCAATAAAACTATACCAACTACAAACAAGTTACAAAAAAAGTCTTGTCACTTCAGTGTTCTAAGAAACAGAACTGGATCATGAGCCAATTTATTCAGAGACTACAAAGTTCCAAATTATGCTTGCTTTGGAAAAAAAAGCCTGTAAAAACCTGTTATTTCCCTAGACACATTTTAGAGATGCTGAAGAAACTACAGCATAGATGGGCAATATATGGTCCATGGGCCAGACCTAAGTGATTCTATCTGGCCCAAGGCAGGTCCCTTGGCCCTACCCAGTCCAGAAGCAGGGGGCAGCCCAGGCCATAACACAAGTGGCCAGTCCTATCACACCCAAGCATGGAGGTGTTGCCTGGTGCAAAGCACAGCATATCCTCATGTGTAGCTCTAGGGCACACCAGGAGTTGCAGTCTGTGGGGCTGGGTAGTATGGCGGTGGCAGCCAGACTC